TGTGTGTGTATGTGTGTGTGTGTGTGTGTGTGTGTGTGTGTGTGTGTGAGTGTGATTCTTTCGGCCGCAGTAAGCAGAATACCAAATGATGACGGGGAAATTCACTGCTCCACAAAAGCAGCAGTCTGGAGCTTTTATCCAGAGCAGCACTGAACAGAAAGCCATCAGGGCCTCTGGCCTAAACATTGATCCTTTATTTTACTAGACAGAAGAAAAAGAGAAAGTACAGCTGCCTTGTGCACAACAAAGACAACTGACCCAGCTGACAACAAATATGTTCTAAGAATGTTATGCTATAATGTTATGAAAACGTTATTTCTGAATGTTCTCTGAGTGTTCAAAATGTACAGTTTTTTAAAATGTTTTTAAAAAAAATTATTGGTTATGCGAACGTTCCATTTTATTATTTTGAAACCTTATGGAAGCGTTACGTTTGAATGTTTTTCTAAACATCCTGAAACAAGTAGTTACATTTAAAAAAGCTTAGTTGAACATCCAACAAAAATGTTTTAAAAAAGGTTCTGTGAACGATGTATAAATAATGCTTTTGTGCTAACATTTTGAGAAAATTATTCTTATCATATATAATTATTATATGAAAATTTTAATTTAATTTTTTGTACATTTCTCTGAATATTCAAAACATCTCTTTTAAACGTTTTTTCTTGGTTATGCGAATGTTCCATTTTATCATTGTGCAAACATTATGGAAATGTTACTTTTGAATGTTCTCTGAACATTCTGAAACAATTAGTTACATTTTTAAAAAATGCTAGTCGAACGTTCAACTAAAACGTTTCAGGAAAAGAAGGCTCCATGAACAATTTATAAATGAATGTTTTGAGAACATTATTAAAGACCAGATAATTATGAACGAATGTTCTATTAACGTTACTGGAAGAACTTTGACAGAACCTTTCCAGAACGTTCTGAGAACATTCTCTGTTAGCTTTTGACGAATGATTCATGAATTTCTAAAAAAAGTAAAACAGTGCAGCATTAGGATGCTAGTCGAAAAGTCCTAAAGGAATGATTATGGATTTTTGGATTTTTCATCGTAATTTGAAACCAATCCTAAAGGATAGAAATCCTATATTAATTAGTAAGAATCATTCGAGTGCTAATAGAATCTTGTATCATTATCCTAAAGGATCCTAATCCTAAATAGGATTTCCCGAAGAATAAGGGTTCCGTTTATCCAGTAGGATCTTATTTGCTTCTTATAGGATTCTTATTGATCCCATTAAGATCCTTTAGGATTTGTTTCAAATTATGAATTCCAATTCCTTGAATCCATACGTATTCCTTCAGGATTTTTCTGACTAAATTCCAGCGTTCCAATCTGAAATTGCTTTCTAGATATGAGAATATACATAGGCAATATTATTCTGTCAATCCTGCAGTTTTCATGTATTTGGGCCCATGCAGCAGTGGCCTTTAACCAGCAGAAATGATGGCAGCACTTTGGAAAATGCTAAAGATCGAGACCCCTGCAGCTAAATGATGTGCTTTTAGTAAAACCTCAGAGCTTAAAATAAGCACACAGACTGTAGTTTGTGAATTTTGTGTGTTAAACAGCTCATGTTTTGATAGAGGAGCCTCAGTAATGGAGGCTTGGAGTGGAATGGTGCGCACTGCTCGTGTTTCTGTGAGTCTGATGAGTGAACAGCGCCATCTACTGCTGATCAAACACAACTCTGGGTGTGTGTGTGTGTGTGTGTGTGAGAGAGAGAGAGCGTGTGTGTGTGTGTGTTGTGTAGTGTGTGTCTGTGTGTGTGTTGGGGTGTGTGTGTGAGAGAGAGAGAGAGAGAGAGTGTGTGTGTGTGTGTGTGTGTGTGTGTGTGGTGTGGGGTGTGTGTTGTGTGTGTGTGTTGTGTGTGTGTGTGTGTGTGTGTGTGTGTGTGGTGTGGGGTGTGTGTTGTGTGTGTGTGTTGTGTGTGTGTGTGTGTGTGTGTGTGTGTGTGGTGTGGGGTGTGTGTTGTGTGTGTGTGTTGTGTGTGTGTGTGTGTGTGTGTGTGTGTGTGGTGTGGGGTGTGTGTTGTGTGTGTGTGTTGTGTGTGTGTGTGTGTGTGTGTGTGTGTGTGGTGTGGGGTGTGTGTTGTGTGTGTGTGTTGTGTGTGTGTGTGTGTGTGTGTGTGTGTGTGTGTGCATTCATCTTATGTTTCTTAAAAGTTATCGATACTTGTTTCAGAACATTCAGAGAACATGGTTTGTTCTTTAATAATGTTATTTATACATCATTCACAGAACATTTCTGAAACATTTTAGTTGAACCTTCATCTAATGTTTTTTAAACATTATTAGTTCTTGTTTCAGAATGTTCAGAGAACATTCAAAATTCCGAACAAATGTTCTTCCAGGAACATTAATAAAACATTTGTTCAGAATTGTCTGGTCTTTAATAACATTATTTGGGTTCTCAATGTTCAGATAACATTCAAAAGTAATGTTCCCATAATGTTTGCAAAATGATCAAATGGAACGTTCCCTTAAAGTTTCCAAACAACATTTTAAAAACACTACAGTTCAAAAGTTTGGGGTCAGTACATTTTTATTTTTTATTTTTCTGAAAGAAATTAAAACTTTTATTCAGCGAGGACGTGTTCAATTGATAAGAAGTGATAGCAAAGATTTATATTGTTGGAAAAGATTTATATTTTGAATAAATGATGTTCTTTTTAACTTTTTATTCATCAAAGAATCCTGAAAAAGTATCAGTTTCCAAAAATAATCTTTGTCAGCACAACATTGATAATAATAATAATAAATCAGCATATTAGAATGATTTCTGAAGATCATGTGACACTTTATACTGCAGTAATGAATTAGCAGTAATAAATTATATTTTAAAGGATATTAAAATAGAAACCATTATTTTATATTGTAATAACATTTTGCAATTTTACAGTTTTTTTCTGTATTTTTGATCAAATAAATGCAGCTTTGATGAGCAGAAGAGTCTTCTTTAAAAACATTACAAGTCTCACTGATCCCAAACTTTTGAACGGTAGTGTGTGTGTATATATATATATTACAAGGATGAAGGAACAGTATGAAAGCTTATGCAAATCATTCTGAGTAATCTGGACTTTAATGGGTTATAAATGTCTGTCTGAGTTTCAGATCCCTCAACACGCACTTCTGCCATTGTTTCTGCATCAATTATACATGCAAAGTGTGGAAATATTGCTGTGCATTTGTCTTTATCAAATATTTAGTTTAAGCGTGCTGTGATAGGGGCTTTGTCGTTTTTACACACGCGGGTCTCTTGGACGTCTGTCTGCAGCGGTCAGCAACTTCTTCTGCCTGAGTGCAAGACCTGCGCTTTCTCACACTCTTTACACTTGGCCTGCTGCTGCCTTAATTTTATGACAAATGGGTCTGTGTTGCACGTGTATGTGTGTGTGAAAAAGAGAAATCTAGTCTGGTAATGAGGGTGTGAATGCAGCAGAAGTGAAAACACACACACACACACTGTGTAAAACCACACTGGTGTGTGTGTCCGCCTTTATTTACACCGTCGTTTCCTCTTACATAATAGTTTTGTACTCAATTGAGCTCTTAACCTGATTTCTATTGATCTGGCCCAGGCTCAGTTTTGCATACTTAATTCGGAGAAGTAATCAAATCAAATCTTGACACACACACACACAAACTCACTCACTCTCTCACTCACACACACACACACACACACACACACACACACACACACTCTCTCTCACACAC